TTATACTCTCCCTCTTTGTCGCTCTGCATAAATTTACTCGAAACGTGCACTCCGTGTACTCTTACTCAGCTTGACCGCAAGCCGACTTTCTAAAGCGTTTGCCAACTTTCCGTTTGTACAATTAAAACAGCAAACTGTATCTGGGGTTGGGGTTAGGGTTGGTGTTGGGGTAGAGCTGGTCGTGTTCAAATTTCTAGGCAACAATACACATTAACTACAAATTACATTCACATTAGTGTTTCGGCATTTCCTTTCCATTTTTTTTTCTTCCCTCTTCTTCTTTTTTCTGTGAGCTGCTCTTTAAAAATGGGAGGCAGAGAAAAAAAAAAAAAAGAGAAAAAACAAGCAGGAACCACACACCTAATAAATCAAAGCGGCCTTCCTGAGCGCCTCCCATGAGTATGCTTGTTAAATGCTCGTAATAAATTAGCTGCCGAGCGGCAGACCGCGCCCAGCCCCACAGTTCCTGATTATTGGCTAAGCTGGTGGGTCTGGGCCAGTTTACACTGGTCTTTCGGCCCGATATATACAAGCGCCGGCCATTGAATCCAATCGAAGCCACTTTTACACTGCCCCTCTCTCTCCCTTTCTTTCTTCTGCTCTCTCTCCCTCTGTCTTTCTCCTGCACATTTTTCAGACTCATTCATTTTATCAAGTCGTGAATTTGCTTGCAATTTTTGTTCCTTTATTTCATTTTTAATGAAGTCAGCGCTAAAAATTTCCGCTGTGTGGGCGTGTTTTGTGGGCGTAGACGAAGAGATGGGCTGGAGGAGAGGGTGGGGCTGGTATTAGGCCATGCTAGGGACGTTTGGCGCTTGACTGAAAGTTTCCCGAATTTGGCTTACGATTTTCTGCTATTCATTTTTAATTTCGCTTTGCGTGAACTTTCGACTGCTAATTCGAATTCGGTTCTCAGCTACTAAATGAGCGGTTTGGTTTTTCCCGTTGTCATCTGGTTTTTCATTTCATTTTTATGTCGTTTGTTTTAAAAAATATGTTTTAAATATACACCTTTTGAGCATATTTAATAAGCAATTTGTTCAAAAGTATCTGTATCTGTATCTGTATCTGTATCTGTATCTGTATCTGTATCTGTATCTGTATCTGTATCTGTATCTGTATCTGTATCTGTATCTGTATCTGTATCTGTATCTGTATCTGTATCTGTATCTGTATCTGTATCTGTATCTGTATCTGTATCTGTATCTGTATCTGTATCTGTATCTGTATCTGTATCTGTATCTGTATCTGTATCTGTATCTGTATCTGTATCTGTATCTGTATCTGTATCTGTATCTGTATCTGTATCTGTATCTGTATCTGTATCTGTATCTGTATCTGTATCTGTATCTGTATCTGTATCTGTATCTGTATCTGTATCTGTATCTGTATCTGTATCTGTATCTGTATCTGTATCTGTATCTGTATCTGTATCTGTATCTGTATCTGTATCTGTATCTGTATCTGTATCTGTATCTGTATCTGTATCTGTATCTGTATCTGTATCTGTATCTGTATCTGTATCTGTATCTGTATCTGTATCTGTATCTGTATCTGTATCTGTATCTGTATCTGTATCTGTATCTGTATCTGTATCTGTATCTGTATCTGTATCTGTATCTGTATCTGTATCTGTATCTGTATCTGTATCTGTATCTGTATCTGTATCTGTATCTGTATCTGTATCTGTATCTGTATCTGTATCTGTATCTGTATCTGTATCTGTATCTGTATCTGTATCTGTATCTGTATCTGTATCTGTATCTGTATCTGTATCTGTATCTGTATCTGTATCTGTATCTGTATCTGTATCTGTATCTGTATCTGTATCTGTATCTGTATCTGTATCTGTATCTGTATCTGTATCTGTATCTGTATCTGTATCTGTATCTGTATCTGAATCTGAATCTGAATCTGAATCTGAATCTGAATCTGAATCTGAATCTGAATCTGAATCTGTATCTGTATCTGTATCTGTATCTGTATCTGTATCTGTATCTGTATCTGTATCTGTATCTGTATCTGTATCTGTATCTGTATCTGTATCTGTATCTGTATCTGTATCTGTATCTGTATCTGTATCTGTATCTGTATCTGTATCTGTATCTGTATCTGTATCTGTATCTGTATCTGTATCTGTATCTGTATCTGTATCTGTATCTGTATCTGTATCTGTATCTGTATCTGTATCTGTATCTGTATCTGTATCTGTATCTGTATCTGTATCTGTATCTGTATCTGTATCTGTATCTGTATCTGTATCTGTATCTGTATCTGTATCTGTATCTGTATCTGTATCTGTATCTGTATCTGTATCTGTATCTGTATCTGTATCTGTATCTGTATCTGTATCTGTATCTGTATCTGTATCTGTATCTGTATCTGTATCTGTATCTGTATCTGTATCTGTATCTGTATCTGTATCTGTATCTGTATCTGTATCTGTATCTGTATCTGTATCTGTATCTGTATCTGTATCTGTATCTGTATCTGTATCTGTATCTGTATCTGTATCTGTATCTGTATCTGTATCTGTATCTGTATCTGTATCTGTATCTGTATCTGTATCTGTATCTGTATCTGTATCTGTATCTGTATCTGTATCTGTATCTGTATCTGTATCTGTATCTGTATCTGTATCTGTATCTGTATCTGTATCTGTATCTGTATCTGTATCTGTATCTGTATCTGTATCTGTATCTGTATCTGTATCTGTATCTGTATCTGTATCTGTATCTGTATCTGTATCTGTATCTGTATCTGTATCTGTATCTGTATCTGTATCTGTATCTGTATCTGTATCTGTATCTGTATCTGTATCTGTATCTGTATCTGTATCTGTATCTGTATCTGTATCTGTATCTGTATCTGTATCTGTATCTGTATCTGTATCTGTATCTGTATCTGTATCTGTATCTGTATCTGTATCTGTATCTGTATCTGTATCTGTATCTGTATCTGTATCTGTATCTGTATCTGTATCTGTATCTGTATCTGTATCTGTATCTGTATCTGTATCTGTATCTGTATCTGTATCTGTATCTGTATCTGTATCTGTATCTGTATCTGTATCTGTATCTGTATCTGTATCTGTATCTGTATCTGTATCTGTATCTGTATCTGTATCTGTATCTGTATCTGTATCTGTATCTGTATCTGTATCTGTATCTGTATCTGTATCTGTATCTGTATCTGTATCTGTATCTGTATCTGTATCTGTATCTGTATCTGTATCTGTATCTGTATCTGTATCTGTATCTGTATCTGTATCTGTATCTGTATCTGTATCTGTATCTGTATCTGTATCTGTATCTGTATCTGTATCTGTATCTGTATCTGTATCTGTATCTGTATCTGTATCTGTATCTGTATCTGTATCTGTATCTGTACCTTTCATCATTTAAAATTTAATTTCACCTTAATATCACTTCAGACCAAGTTCTGGCATGTGCCTAAGCCGCCTGTCAAGCAACATTTTCATCAAATAATAGCTAATTAAGTTAAATGACTTGTCGATTCCTTTACTTTGCACTTCCACTTGGAAGCTGATAAAAATTATGAAGCTTCCTTGACAACGAACGGCATGCGCCTAAGTGTTGCATAATTGTTGCATGCACCCATTGAGAATGTCATACGCGCAGCTAACGAAGCGTCGACTCCAGGCAGGCATCAGGCAGGAGACATCAGGCAACAGGCAACATACAAAGTTGGCTGGCAGTTGCATCAAGTCGATGCTAATTAGGACGCCAGGGAGTCAGAGGACTCTAGCAGGACTCATCATCATCGTACGCAGCGCTAGACAAATTTGTAGCCTGACAGCACAGCTGATGACAGGCTGCCTCCAATGGCTGCAACTTTCAGCTGCCAACTTGCGACTGGCAAATGGGCAGCCCAGCGCTTCACATTTGCTGTCAGCAAATTTTCACTTCTTTTTTTTACTTTTGCACAGCATCTGCAACTTTGGTGCTGCTGCTCTTGCTCACAGACCAGGTGTCTTTAACATTGGCAGCCAGCAAATTAAGTAAAGTGTGTGAGTGTGTGTGTGTGTGTGTGTGTGCTACGCTAATTTTTGCAAGCAGCCAAAAAGTCGCATGCAGCGAAGCAGTCGACGCGTGCTTGGCAAAAATTAAAATGCCTGCAAACTCGAAAGGCAAATGGGAAATAAAGCAAAATCAAAGAAAGCATTGCACGCAGCAAGTATGATACATATAATGTACAGCTAGCTATATGCGGGCAGTGAAGAAGGTAAATTTATATAAAACAGAGGGAGTAAGAAAGAGAGAGAGAGAGAGAGAGAGAGAGGACTTGGGCATAGATATTCCAAGACATTTATCAGGCGTCTGCTTTGTGAATATGATTTTCCATAATGATCAAACTTTGCTTCAAATTGTCAGCAGCTTGCAAAATTTTTGTATATATACATATACATATTTAGTAAAAATATTATAGTCTCTTAAGAGTCTTCTAGGCCTAATTGATCAAGAATTTTATGTGACTTTCAAATAAGTAGATTATAAGGGATTTTATTTGCTAAATGCTCTGCTGTTTTCAATCAATATACTACCCAAAAAATAATTATTTAAGAGTAGTTTCGATTGTCTTTGGACAGGTTTTCTGCCCAATATTTAAATATATTATTCTAAATAATTTATTATATATTTGATACTTAAGAGTTTATCAATTTTCTGCCCGCAAGCATTTATTCTGAATATTTTTCTATGCCAAATCTCATATGAATTTCAGCACTCTGTGGTGCATTTAGATTACAATTAAATTTGTAAAATGTATAACATTTCTGGGGGATTACAAAAAGCGACTAACTTTATTTTTCACCTCAGTATTTTGTCAGCGAGTTCGTTATGAAGTTAGCAAACGGAGAAAAAAATTATTCAAGCCCGTATTCATTATTCATATGTCAAAAAAATAGCTGAAGAAAAAAAAAAAAAAAAAAAAATATATATATATATATATATATATATATATATATATATATATAAAGACAGAGTGTGGCATGTGGCTAAAAAGCTAAACAAAAATTGTTTTAATAAATGCAGCGGCGCGTCGTCTGCTCGTGCAAGTTTTCGCTGCCCGTTTCCCTATTCCGTTTTCCCTTTGGCTGGCCCTTGGCATTTACCATCCTCCATCTGGCGTCTGACTGTTGGTCAGTTGTGCAGTTGCATGCGGCACGCGCTGCCTTTTTGGCTCTGCCGCCTTGGCCGCCGCCGTTGACACAACTGTTGCCCCGGACAGAGTCGCCAGGCAGCCGGCAGCCGGCAGCCGGAGACGCGAACGGACACGGACGGATGCGGAGATGGGTCCGGGCGGCAGACACGGCTTGGTGGCCAAATGAAAAATCACAGCGCCGTGCCATCAACTGCTCAGCTAGCCCCATAACTATGCAAGGCAAGAGAATTTTTATTTTGCGGCTGCTGCTGCTGCTGCTGCTTGGTATGTTGCAAAGTCATATTCATTCGCTCATTCATTCATTCAGTTGAGAGTTGCAACACATTTTTATGTCTCCTTTTTATGCGCAAAGTGTGAATGTGAATGTGAATGTGAATATGAATGCTGCTCTACTCGTCGCTGTTGCTGTTGCTTCTTGTAACATTTTATTTCCATTTTTTTGTAGCATTTTCATTTCCTATTTGCACATTTTTCACTTCTGTCCGTTGGCTTTTTGATGCGTCCCGTTTGTGTTTTGTGCAGTTAAAAGATTTATAAATATGAATATTATACATTGTGGCATGAAATATGCAAATTCTAGAAATGGCCAAAGGAAATAGAAATGGTCAAAGCGGAACTAGCACCTCCTCGACAGCCGCCTTCATCTCTCCTTTCTCCCTCGCTCACTATCTTCCTCTCTCTCTCTCTTTCTGTATGTGCAGACCGCCCACTGTATCTTTTCAAACGATGTTTGCAGTTTATTTTTATTAAACACTTTTTTTTCAGTGCACGCAGATGCATTTAATGACCGACAACAGCAAAGGACACGAACTCCATCCCAACGGAGTTGCAACGAATGCTCGAAATGGTCCATCGAAAGAGCCGTTTTAAATGCCATACTAAAACAATCTGATAGAACAAGCTATAATTATTTATGGAGTGCATTCTGCTGAGCTTAAAATGTCTAAGCCGCTGGCTTATTCAATTGTTATGGCGACTTTACAAGTACTTTATTAATGCAGATTTTGTTATACATATGCATATACATATGTGGTTAACAAAGGCTTTGATACATTTGTCAACAGCTGCACAATCCAATATGTTTATGCATCATTTTTCATTTTTCTGTAACTGAACATATTTATCACTATTTTTATAAATATATTAAATGAACAATATAAAAATAAATAATACTAATTTTTAAAATAAAATAATAATAGAATAAAATTTTATTTTAAATGCTCCAACAACAATTAATAATTTAAAAGTCAATTTTAACTAATATATATTATACTTAATTTCTTATATTTTTTTTACAAATATAATGATTTTTACTGAGTTATACAAAAATTTAAAAAATGAAAATAAAAACGTGTTTACAGTAGAGCAACAAAATAAAAATAAATTATTTTTTTTTTTTTTTTTTTTTTTATATTACATCTTGAAACTTTAGAACCATCAAACATTTAGGAATATTAAAATATTGAAAAATTGCTATATTTCCTATCTTTTAATTTCAAGAGAAATAATTATCGATATATACATATATACACTTATAGGGCATACACTCTTCGACATAGCAGCATAACATTTTTAACTGTTAAATAATTAATTGCTGTTTATATTTTTTCAGCCATGTTATTGTTGTTATATTTCGTGCTTTAAATATTTTTTTTTACGCGTTTTTAAATGAAGTTATTGTTGTTGTTGTCGTCGTTTTTGTTTGGTAGCTATAAATCAGGGCATTTTAATGCAAATGCTGTTGCAATTTTATGGCTTAAATTAGCAATTGGCGGAGCGCGGCTATTGGCCATTAATATTTATTAACAGGCGGCGCATGATTAATGTGCCATAATAAAATTAGTTATACAAAAAAAAAAAGAGGAGGAAATAATGCATACAAAAATACAAATAAAAACAGACACAGAAAGTGCGCCATTTGACTTTCACAATTAAATAATTTAAAGTTCGCAATGCAAAGTTTAATTAATGTCAAATGTCAGCAATTATTCTAAGCCAAGAGAAACGCAAGGGCAAAGTGGTAGATGCCACTGGGTGGGGGGTGAAAGAAAGGGGGTAGAAGTGCTGCGTATAAAGAGCAGTGTGTGGTATAGCCGCAACATTAAAATCAATTAAATTATGAATGTAATTAAAATAATTTAATGGCAATGCTCTTACGGCCACTCGATGACAGCTGTAATATTCAATTTGATTACGCAATTGCAGTTAATTAATAATTCAATAAATAACGCAAAGGCCACTTAAAATTAGCTGTAAACAATTGTCAACGTTCATCGTTCGCACTTCAAATAGAATGAGAGATCACATAAATTATAGAACCTGACAGTGGGGAATTGGTGTCTGCACTCTATATGTAGGTGTGGGCAGACAAAACTAATTGAAAGCTTGACGTAAATAAAAGAAGGAGTAGCTGATAAAGTGATTGACCCTGAGTGTCGTGGTTGAAAGTCAGCTTAGAAATATAGTTAATTAGTATATGAATGAAATAGTTTCGCTTTGTAGTTTCAGCAAGATCTTAAAATATCGATGAGCTGTATAAGTGATAGATATGAAATGATTAACTCTACAGTGAAATATCAATAAGTGAAGTATACGACTGTACTGCAATCAAGTCTCTTGAACCTTAAACTAGATATGCACTAACACATCATGCTCTCATTATAAAATCTGACAGATTAGATACCTTTTAAATCCAGGTTTGGTACCAGAAAAATCCTATAACATGACCCAGTAGCAGACTTTTGTCAATTAAATAAATATTTAAAATATTCCAAAATTCTTAGCTTCAGTCTGAGATCAGAATTCCTATCATAATAGGAAATCTAAATGTTTACAGCTGATATTTTGAAAATAACAGCATAAATTAGTGAATAAATTTCATAAATTTATAAATGTATAACTTACGGTTTCTACATGCGTTTTAAATGTTTATTGATATGAAAAATAAATTAAATTATTTAAATTAAACTAATCGCAATTTAAACTGTATTTGAATAGGCAGTGACAAAGTAAAGTAGATGTTTATGCGTAAATATATTACATATACAATAGTGGCAAAATCACACATCATTAAATTTGTATTTATGTATTTTCAATAGAAAAATAATTTGATTATACTCTAAATATTATCTGAATACATATTATTCGTATTAATATCATTCCATATCTAATGCTCAGCTGTTGCCCTACTCTAAACAAAAAGTAATATCTGTAAACTCTTCCCATAAAGTTGATTTTCCAACTATATACAGTGCCATCAACACATCAACGACAGATAGACATATCTATTTTATTTAGATTACATATCGTGTCTCTTCAATAGATTTACGTACACCTCACCAATTGAAGCTCAATCAGAGCCCAACTTGCTGACTACTATAAACGCTTGAAGTACGAGTATTTTGCTGGCTGGCAACTAAAGTATGAGGTAAATCATCATTTGGTCTAAATGAATTCTCAAATGCGCCCATAAACTTCGTGTCAGTCCTCAAAAGTTCTAAACAAGATGCGTGGCTGGTTTTACGATTCGGAGTTTTATTTGCCACACGGTGCGCCTTCCCTCCTCTTCTCAATCTCATTCTCATTCACATTCACATTGACATTCGCATTCTCATTCACATTCTTATTCGCATTTTCCCATTGACTATGGCAATTCACATCACAGTTCGGTCTGACAGCTCACATTGAGTGCGAGCGGGAGAGAGAGAGAGAGAGAGAGAGAGAGAGAGAGAGACTGCGTGGAAGATACTCAAAAACTTTGATGGATTTGTATGCTTCATGCCGCTTCGCGATGCTATACAGCGAGTACAGTGTTTTTTGGGTTGGGATTATGTTAATATCCGAGTTGGAATTAGCCTGCAAAGGATTTCGCTGCGTGTGCTGCATTAAAATTTATCGACTGAGTGTCTATATATGACTGCGGAGTATGTAAATTGATTGTGGCTGCCGGGTAAGCCGCAAGGCTTCAGCTCTCTCTCTCATTCTCTCTCTCTCTTTCTTTCGTGCACTCGTTAAGTTTCCGTCTTGGCACAATTATGACTTTTAGCAGGCAGCTGTGAGTGGCCTCATCTGGCCAGCGGGGCTTTTAGGGTTTTACGACAGCGACATAAACCCCACAAGTGGCCACAATGCAATCGTAAATTTTTGCGACTGCAAATCAAATTAGTGCAGCTTTCTCTCTCGGGCCATATATACAACACACACACAAACATACAAACGTACATTTATGGAGCTAATACACACGAAATATATGCACAACATTTTCGTATTCGCATGCGGCTGGATGCATTTGTTAGGCAAACCACAGTTGGGCAAGATTTGAGATAAGTAAAAATATAAAAGAATGCATAAAAAATACATATGTATATGAAAATATTTACACGAATTCATAAATCAATATACATATAATTATTAGGAAATTAAACTCATAAGTTAATTAAATAATTATTTATTTACTTGTACCTTTATTTAATTTTCATCAACTTAGTTCACTTAAAAAGCAATGTATATTATTATTATAAATATTATTCTTATTTTAGTTTATTTATATGTAAAAAGTTGAACACAGCAAGAAAAGAAATAGCAGTGTCAATTTCATTGAAAGGTTTTTTAAAGGTCCAATTAAAATAAATAAATAATAAATATTTAAAAAAAATAAATAAATAAATAAAAAATTATATTAAATAATAACGAAAATAATATTTTAAAAATTTGTAAAATAAAAAAATGTAAATTTTATTTTAGGCACTCACAATGGAATTTTTTGTTTTTATTTATATTAATTTTAGAAACTTTTATACAAAAATCAATGTGTGTGATTTTATTATTTTAATGAGCCTTATTACTTATAATAATTGAAAATTTTTGACTTTACAGAATTATTTAACCGTTTTATGTACTTGTCTGCTTAAAAATAATATTTAAAAAATATCCAATTAGTTCGCATGCTATATAGCTAACCTATCCGCATACTTTGCCGCTAGACAGGCCAATAATAACGCTTAATGAGGAAATATTTAGATCATTGATTAGCAGCTGGTTCAATCTAGTTATCTACTGCTCTTTGAAATTTTGTAATATTTTTGTAAAATTCAATTGAAGTACTGCCTTGAATTTGAATTTTATTGAAACAGTTTCGTTTTGTATTTGTTAGCTGAACTGCATTTGCATTTGCTGATAATTGCTTTCCTCCTACCTCTCTCTCTCTCTCTGTCTTTCTCTCTCTCTAACTCACCTATCCCCATCTCTCTCTCTCTCTCTCTCTTTCCCTATCTGTGCTACCTATTAAAATGCCATTTCATGTGCACATTGAGATATTAATGCAATTAAGTGCCTGCGGTAGCAACGCCTGCGGCTTATTGTAGCATACTTTTCAGCTCCTGCAAATGGACTGTGTGGATGTGTGTGAGTGCGTGTGTGTGTGTGTGTATGAGTTACGTTGAATTTTGCATATTTGATCGATAGACGGGAAAAACTTGACTTGGCATTGTGTTGCTGCCATGTTTTATAGAGTAGCTGCTGCAGTTGTTGTTGTTGTTGTTGCTGTGGTTGTTGCTGCTGCTGTTGATGCTGCATAGAAATGCGAGCGATGCGTATTGCCCAGGCCACGATGCCAGCGGCAGTCAATTTTCTTGTTTACAATGGCTGCCACACACACACACACACATGCACACGCATACGTGCGCACATACACTATGACAAATAACAAACAATTACAACGGCGCGGCGCTTGTCTCTCAGTCGTTGTGGTTGTTGCTTTGCGCCGCAATAAATACAATTTGCATGACAAAATAGCAAACAACGGCAACTTTTGCATACGTGCATGTGCATGTGCGTGTGTGTGTGTGTGTGTGTGTAAGCGTCTGCAGGTTCACTCAGCCAAACAAAACTACACACAAAAACAATCAACTGCCAGGCCGTCCAAACAGCAACAGCAACAGCAGCCACAGCAACAACAACAACTTCAGCTAGGCTTTATCCTGAGCTGCAGCTGCTGTTCTGCTTCTGCTTCTGCTGCTGCTGCTGCTTTTGCTGCTACTGCTCCTGCCTGCTGTTGCCACACCTACCTTTTGCCCCTTCCCGCCTGCTGCTGTTGTGCGGAGCAACTTATG